CAACATCAAAGCGGGCCTAAAATCCTGCAGTCAGAAGTTTGAAATTTTGCGTTGGTATCGTAGTCGAGTTATAAAGGATTTCCCGGAATTCCCGAGGGTAAAGGAGATAACAGGTTACCCGGGCAAAGTGTAGAGTTAACAGGTTGAAGCCCTGTAATGGTTTAATTGCAAAATAAACGTTAGTTAACTTTAACTTTATTTACATAAAATTACGTTGTAATAACATAAGAGTTTGTATAAATCTTTGTTATATAGATTTTCTAATAAAACTTTGTACAAAAGACGTCTACTTGGGTACCTCCGTCCCATTCGTATTTCTGTGCTTTGTTTTGGTTTATTTTTTTTTTTTTCAATAGATGATAATGGATTAGCAACCTGCGCTAATGGTTTGGAGGGTGGAGTATGGTAATGAGATTGCAGGAAACAGAAACATGACAATTTAGTCCTCAAGAATGACAACGCATGAAGGGTATCATGGGTGAAACAGCATACTCTGTTATGTCCATGGTACTGCTCATGTCTATAGGCGACGGTTACCACTTTCCATCAGGTGGGCCGTCAGCTTGTTTGCTATTTTAAGTTGTATAGAAATAAAAAAAATACTTTTTATAAAGTACAGGACTGCAGGTACTTACCAAAATCATCAACTGTGATATAATTTGCAAAAATATAATTTTTGATTGTAGCTTGGTAGCTTTTTCTTTCTTTCTATCAATACGAAGTTTTTGATAGTCATTTTATCCATTAATTTATATCTATTATAATATAAATAAATATAATATAAACCTATTTGCAATGTGTATACGAGCATGCACATACATACAAGAGGACTTGAAGATCTATATCAAAGAGCTATGTGTCAACCTCGCACCGCTTAGATTTTTTTAATTAATCAATATATATATATATATATATATATATATATATATATATATATATATATATATATATATATATATATATATATATATATATATATATATATATATATGCGGGACACCACTGAATGATGATAGGTTACGATGAAAAGACAGGTCAGTTGGCTCATCGTGAGGAATACGCCTAGAATAAAGCACGATGACTTCTAGAGGGGACCACGTGGAGGTCGACCTAATGGAATATATTGCTAGCAATGGGACTGATAGTTCGCATTACTAACAAACCCTGCCCTCCCTCTTCAAATATATCTCTCTGTCGTACTTTGAACTGGTTTCTCTGATTCTGATCTAAGATTTTATTTACTTTGCCTATTCACGAAAAGAGAGGAATAAATGAGCATGAATAATTTACAGAATTTTTTTTTTATAATAATACGTATTTATATGAATGTAACTTATAGTATGATAGTATTACTTAATTTTAGACATCAATAGCAAGTTTCCGTAGTGTAGCGGTTATCACGTGTGCTTCACACGCACAAGGTCCCCGGTTCGATCCCGGGCGGAAACATAGCTTTTTGCATAATTGAGAACTATTTTTTAGTATTTTTTAAGTTTTAAAAACCTGTTTTTACCATTTTTTTTCTAAATTATGGATTATAAAATGCTTGTCTTAATATATCACAATTCTTATGATTCATCGTAGTACAAATACGTAGATAAAATGTTCAAGTTACATCCTGTTTTGTTAAAAATATTAAAAAAAATATATACAATAATTTTACTATTACTATTAGGACAGTGGCGCCTTCTGGTGTTAACATTTTTTAGGCAGATTTCGTTATACTATATATTCGAAAATTGATGGGGAGACTAAGATCGTTGGTGACGGAGATCTAACAGTCCCATTGCTAGCAATGTACCCTATCAGGTCGACGTCCATACGATTCCCCCTGGAAACCCTCTTGGTTAATTCTTTTTGAATTTATCACTATTGAGCAACTGTCCTGCTTTCATCTTCACCTATCATCACACATTGGTGCCCCGCCAGCGTATACCTATAAATCAACATTACTATGTTTTTTTTTTATAAATGGATGATAATGGAATGGTTATCCCACCTACGCTAACGGTATACATGGGGGGGAAGGGATTGTTAGTAATGGAGACTAAGAATCCAATTGCTAGCGATATACCCAACCAGGTCGACCTCCTCGCGGTTCTCTCTGGAAACTATCATGGTTAATTCCTGATGAATTCATCATGATGGGCTAACTGACCTGTTTTCATTCTCACCTATCACCCTTCACTGGTGCTCCGCCAGCGTATCCCGTTAGCGCAGGCAGAGTTACCATACCATTTTCACCCATCAAAAAAAAATTGACCCATTGCTAGGAATACACCCTATCAGATTGACATCCACGCGATTCCTCCTGGAAACCCTCGTAGTTAATTCTAGTGGAATTTGTCACGATGGGCTAACTGACCTGCTTTCATCATCACCCATCATCCCTCACTGGTGCCCCACCAGCGTATACCGATAGCACAGGTGAAGTGACCATTTCATCATCACCCATTAAAAAAAACTGTTTTTAGATGCATTACTCAAACCATGTACGTAATGTAATTAGATTGCAACCTAGCTGTATCACATATCGTCATAGTCGTAGAATACTGACGGATCTGACGAATTTTACATATATAGATCCGTCAGTATTCTACGACTATGACGAAATGTAACTATTAATAAAAAAAAAATGGTTATGATCTGTTTTGTCTAATAAGTAAAAAAAAAACCGAACCATCTGCTTGTTTGCCATTCCAAGCTGCAAATATATGTAGTATTTTTTATTTTATTTTTGAAGTTTTATCGAAATTTCCTTCCTTTCTTTTCCTTGGGTGTCGACTAAGGAAATTTCACCGTCTAGGGATGAACAGCAGCGTTCCCCTTAAAACATCACCAAAGCCTAACTTCGGTTACCAATTCCCCTGCCAAGCGTGGCAACTACTGGCAAACCCACCAATAGGGAGGCCTATGTTCAGCAGTGGACAGTTTTATTTTTTTTAATGGATGATAATGGGATGGTAACCCCGCCCGCCCCCGGCACCAGTGAGATGACAGGTGAGAATGAAAAAGCAGGTTAATTAGCCCATTGTGATGAATTCACTTGGAATTCAGCACGATGGTTTCCAGGGAGGACCACGTGGAGGTCGACCTTTTTGGGCATACTGCTAACAATGAGACTGGTAGTCCGCATTATTAACCCCCCCCCCCCCGCAGTGGACAGTTTAAGGCTGTAATTATGATGATACATGATGTGGTACTTTAATAAAAAAAAGACGTGTGGCAGTCGGGGACTGCCGCGGTAAAGCTATTGTATAGCATTTTTTATCAACTTATACAATTTTATAATTATTTATTTTATTTATGCAGTATTTTAACTATATGGGTGTGTGTTTATGTGTATAAAAGAGGGCTACTTTTAAAATCGCTCATTTCAAAATCCAAAATTTAGGTTATGTATTTTTATAGCAGTATTGTATATAAATTCAAAAACAAAAACACTGCATTTGTGATAATAAATAAAATGTATTTATATAGATTACTCACTCATTTTCTTTCACTATTTTTTCATTACTTTCTTCATTAATAAATGCACTTTGTTTATTCATATTTAATATTAAAACACTTTATACACAAATTTTACGCGTACAGCTATTCACTGTTGGACATAGATGATAGATACCTATACACCTATATACATTCTCACAACAGCTGCTTACGTATTCGTCCAATTCCGGAGCAGCTCGCAAAAAGCACGCTGTCTCACCTAGCATTGTATCTAAAAGAGATAGAATCAGTTATGAGCAGTCAGCAGCTAGTCTACACGCATACGTCTACTCGCACGCACACAAACACCGTGCCGAAGTCTGCCGAACTGAAACGACGTTAGACGATGCACGGCTTCCGTCCTCGCACCGCTCTGCCGCCGTAAGAGTGGGGGGTGTTAGGTTCCATTTCCGTTACGGAATTTTTACATTCGGTCTCCGCGCTCAAGGCCCGCGATAAAAGCTATACAATAGCTTAAAAAAACATAGCTTTATAAAAATACTCAACTTTATTGGAACAACTCTTAACAAAAAATTACCTTTTCTTACATAAAACAATACCAAAATACTTAAATACATTGTCTTGGTAAAATAAAACAATTTTACACATACAAAAACCATGGCTGAATCGCAAACTAATAAACCCATTCAACAATTCCAAACAATTATATGCTTTCCTACAATATTTATTCAGTATCATTAATTTGCATTTAAAGTTAACATTTTTATTATAACACTTAATAAAATACTGGCCAGATACATGCGGGCAGCGGCCGGCAAAAGTTGTATGAAAATGCATATCTGTCGTGAGGAAGAAGCAGGTCAGTTAGCCCATCGTGACGAATTCAACAGGAATTGTTCACGATAGTTTCCAGGGGGAACCACGTGGAGGTCGACCTAATAGGGCATATTGCTAGCAATGGGGCTATCAAACTCCTTTGCTAACAATGCCTTTCTCCCCTGAACGGTGGAATTAGAAAGGGTGGCAGTCACATTATAGGGTACAGAGGCATAGCACCATAGTCCTGGGGGGAAGGGATTGTTAGTAATGGGAAGGTTAGTCCCCATTGCTATCAATGTAGCCTATCAGGTCGACCTCCACGCTGTTCCCTCTGGAAACTATCGTGACTAATTTATCGTTGAATTCGTCACGATGGGCTAACTGACCTGCCTTTTCATACTCACCTGTCATCTCTCACTGGTACCTCGCCAGTGTATACCGACAGCGCAGGCAGGGTTACCATGCCATTTTCACCCATAAAAAAAATATAGAGTACAGAGGAATAACACCGTAGTCCTCAGTAAATAGGTAGTTTTACGTGTAATAATTTGTACATACAAGAACCTCTTATATCGTCAAAAGAAACTAGAACATATCAGTCGGGAATATTATTATTTCAATATATATTTATTTATTTATAGCAACACCAACAGCATATTGCATTATAATATATATAACAAACATTAAATACAATACAATATTAATACACATACCATAACAAAATATCAGTGTTTTGCTTTTTGAGAGCGAAGTAATAAACTGATATAATATACATTTTCTCAAACATGCTTGGATATGTGAGCATTATTTTGACAATCTTTTTAGAGATAAACCAAAATTGCCGTACTGGCCAGATACATGCGGGCAGAAGTTGTATGAAAATCCATATCTGTCGTGTTTTGCGGCCAGATAAATTACTATGTAAACTCATATCTGTCCTGTAATTTAAAAATGGAATGACCTTTTACTTCGAAACATGGCTACCAAGGAGATAACTAATAAAAGGTTTTATTTAAATTTCGAACTGGTTTGCAAACAGAAAGCTGTTTATTGAAAAAAAAATCAAAGGAACATAATGGCACGTGAAAAAATATTATTGTTCGTTATTCCTCATTGAACTTAAAAAGTAAAATTATGTTTTTGATTTTTGCGCATTGTTTGAGAAAAGTACTATATAAGCCTTGGCCACAACTAGGCATTGATGGACTCACGTATATGTGCCTCGGCTACGCCTCGGGCCACATTTGCACATTCGTCCATCAATGCTTCAGTTGCTGGCCGCCGCAGTAATGTACTATTTCAATGTATTTTAAATTATGCACACCAAATTGTGACGAAATTGTACGAATAAGTAGACCTGCTTTTTTTTCGAGGCATTTGTGTGGAGACACTCTGTCTATATAATCTAAAACTAAAGCAATTAAATTATAAAATCGATCATTTAAATTAATTAATTAATTTAATTTCAAACTGTTTATAATTACTCCTCTCTATCCAGGTTGCCTGCAAGAGAAGAGACTTTGTACAAAAGTTGATTGCTTGAGTACCTCTGTCTCATTCGTGTTTCTACCGTGAAGCAGTTGTATTTGCATAGCTGTGTTTCGGTTTGAAGGGTGGGATATGGCGTGAATTTACAGGGTACAAAGGAATAACATCTGAGTCCACAGGAATGGCAACGCATGGGGGGTATCATGGGCGAAACAGTATACTCTGTTATGTCCATGGTACTGCTTATGTCTATAGGCGATGGTTACCACTTTCCATCAGGTGGGCCGTCAGCTTGTTTGCCATTCTAAGTTGTATAATAAAAAAAAAATGTCTGTATGTTTAAGAATTATTTTTTGTACATATATCATTAAATTTATAAAACGTTCATAGGCTACGGTAACCGCTTACCATCAGGTGGGCCGTATGCTTGTTTGCCACCACAGTGGTATAAAAAAAAATTTATAAAACATTTCATGTACGTATGAGAACACCATATGTAAACTGTACATTTTAAACCTTGTTGGCATAAAAAAAAATACATTATCGAAACACCTACTACAGTACGTTTACGAGTGTATCTCAGGTGTGACCGAAAGGGTGATCCGCTGGCGCCCCCTAACGACGTCGATACGCAAACTGCCGCTCGAGTTCTCCAACATCATGTAGATGTCGCTGGCGCTGTGCACTGGTTTACCGTTTATATGCGTTACTATATCACCCGGTTGCAGACCACCACTGTAAAATAAGAAATAATTTACATTTATAGAATACTGCTGATTTGCCCCGGCGTCGCACGGATAAATAGACAGAAAGATACATTTGTATTTTATATTAAAGTCAATATATTAGCTTTAATATAAAATTGGCGTGTGGTCCCGGCATAGAATAGGCCACCCCTTCCTTTCCCGTGGGTGTCGTAAGAGGCGACTAAGGGAGGGCGAGGTTTGGACAGCAGCGTCCCTCTTAAAACATCTCTAAAGCCTGACTGCGGTTGCCAATCCGCCTGCCAAGCGTGGCAACTACTGACAAAACCCCCCAAGGTGGAGGGTTATGTACAGCAGTGGACAGTTAAGCTGTACAAACTGAAACACAGCAATGCAAACACAACAGCTTCAAAGTAGAAACATGAATGGGACAGAGGTACCCAAGCAGACGACTTTTTTAGTCTCCCACTGGTACGCTATTGGTGGGATGGTGAAAAATCAATCAGTTTGATCCACTATGATGAATTCATCAGTATTTAACCACGATGGCACCTATATACACCTAAGTCCTCAGGAATGGCGACGCACGGGGGGTATCATGGGCGAAACAGTATACTCTGTTATGTCTATGGTACTGCTCATGTGTATAGGCGACGGTTACCACTTTCCATCAGGTGAGCCGTCAGCTTGTTTGATATTCTAAGTTACATAAAAAAAAACTATCTTGAGGTCATACTTCGCCTCTGTACCCTGTAATTTCACTGCCATATCCCACCCTACAAACCAATGCACAGTCATACAAGAACGACTGTTTGTTAGCATAACCACAGGTTGGACTGAGGTACACAAGCTAAGGGCAACATAACCTTCAAGAAAAGAGCATATTCCTTTTTAAAAGGCCGGCAGCACACCTGCAATGCCGTTGGTGTTGTGGGTGATCATGGGCGGCGGTAATCACTTACTATCAGGTGAGCCGCATGCTCGTTTGCCCCCTGTGTTGTAAACAAAAAATAAAGACTGTTGTACAAAGTCTGTCTTTGTTTTAACAAGTAGTTAATATTATTACTTGTACGCTGGTGATCCGATGATGACCTTCCACACGAGTATCCCATGCTCGATGTCTGTGGGCATCTGAAAATAGTAAAATAATAAAATAGTAGGCAGTAAAGAATTTTTTTATGCAAATTAGAATGGCAAACAAGCTGACCACCCAAGCCCACTTGATGTAGAGTGGTAACCGTCCCTATAGACATGAGCAGTACGGACACGGACATAACAGAGTATACTGTATCGCCCATGATATGCCATGCATTGCCATTCCTGAGCACTCAGGTGTTATTCCTCTGTACCCTGTAAATTCACTGTCATATCCCACCCTTCAAACCGAAACACAGCCATGCAAACACAACTGCTTCACGGTTGAAACACGAATGGGACAGAGGTGTCCAAGCAAAAGACTTTTGTACAAAGTCTCCCTTTGGTAAAATATATCTTTTCAGATAAAAAAAAAAAACATTTTCCAAGTCGGTTTGTAACTGACGGAGTTATAAGGAAAAAAAAAATCCAACCGAAATGAGAACTATCTTGTTTTCAAAGTTGATTAATAATTAATAAAATATTTTTTTTTGAGTAATAAGTTACATAATCGACACAAAGACCCTTAAAAAAAAATAGGGGGTTGATATTAGAAACATATCTATAATAAAACAACTTGGTTGAATGTTTTTTTTTTGATGGGTGAAAATGGTATGGTAACCCCGCCTGCGCTAACGGGATACGCTGGCGGAGCACCAGTGAAGGGTGATAGATGAGAATGAAAACAGGTCAGTTAGCCCATCATGATGAATTCATCAGGAATTAACCATGATAGTTTCCAAGGAGAACCGCGAGGAGGTCGACCTGGTTGGGTATATTGCTAGCAATGGGATTCTCAGTCTCCATTACTAACAATCCCTTTCCCCCCTGGTTGAATGGTTATGAACCAGAAGATATTTTTTAACCACAGACAAGCATGGTCTCATACATAGACAATATAGACTATACACATTGACACAAATATACACCAAAAGATGTCGCCATTCTTACATTTTGACATTCTTTACAACAATATCCTTACCTCTGGATTCCTCAATCTAAGCTCCATTAATATATTCGGCGACAGAGTCAGCATCGTGATGCCGAGATATCGCTTCGACACTTGAGGTGGCTTCGTTTTTCCTGAAATCATTTGAATTATTAATACTATCAGCACCATTTCACCATGAAATAATCATTTTCAGATCACCATCATCATCATATCGGGCGTTAACTGTCGCCGGTTACCACTTACCATCAGGTGGGCCGTCAGCTTTTTTGCCAACCTAAGTTGCATAAAAAAAAAAAAACAGGAAGATTACTGAATTCATCTCTTATTTATTTCTTGTAACAAACTGACCAGTATTCTGATTAAACAATATCGAAATGCAAATTAATATTATTATATCTTTAAATTTACTAAATAACTCACACGCCATAGACGTACGTATGTCGACCAAATAGGCGACGTACTGAAGAAGGGCCAAATTAAAAGTACCCGTAACCGGCGAGCGTGTATGAAAAGATTGATGAATGTGGAAGAAGCGAAAGAGGTTTGTTTTGAATCGAAGCATTTGGCGTTCCATTGTTTCTGCCTACCCTAATGGGAGACAGGCGTGACAGATATGTATATATGTAATTAACTTAATAACCGAATAATAATCACAGACACACGCCTGCTTGATCAAGCGCCGAACGGAAGAGACAAAATCATAGACAATCCTAATTACATTTTTTATTAGACCAAAGGGAGGGAGACTTTGTACAAAAGTCGATAACCTCTGTCCCATTCGTGTTTCAACCGTGAAGCAGTTGTGTTTGCATGGCTGTGTTTCGGTTTGAAGGGTGGGATATGTGAATTTACTGGGTACAGAGGAATAACATCTAAGTCCTCAGGAATGGCAACGCATGGGGGGTATCATGGGCGAAACAGTATACTCTGTTATGTTCGCGGTACTACTGATGTCTATAGGCGACGGTTACCACTTTCCATCAGGTGGGCCGTCAGCTTGTTTGCCATTCTAAATTGTATAAAAAAAAAATACTAGACCAAAGACTATAAGAAACAGATCCTGCCCATTGGGAATAAATTATGATAAATTGAAGTAAATATAAAAATGAGAGTTTAGACATATCAAAGCATATAAAATTACATAAACAACTTACTCTTAGCTAGGAACTCCTTCACGTAATCGATGGGTATGGCGAAGGAAATGCCCGAGGTGACCTTCATGCTATTGATGCCAATCGCCTCACCGTCCAAATTCACTAATGGGCCACCGCTGTTGCCGAATGTGATGGGCGCGTCCGTCTGTATGTACACCATGTCTTTACCTGAAACGTGAACGTGAAATTGGACAGAATTAATACTAACTTAAGTATATTTTTGTTTCGCAAAAAAACATCTAATTTTTTTATACAACTTAGAATGGCAAACAAGCTGACGGCCCACCTGATGGAAAGTGGTAACCGTCGCCTATAGACATGAGCAGTACCGTGGACATAACAGAGTATACTGTTTCGCCCATGATACCCCCATGTGTTGCCATTCCTGAGGACTCAGGTGTTATTCCTCTGTACCCAGTAAATTCACGCCATATCCCACCCTTCAAACTGAAACACAGCCATGCAAACACAACTGCTTCACGGTTGAAACACGAATTTTGTAAAATCTTCCATAAAAACCATTAAACTTACTATTAAAAAAAATGCCACAAATTTAGTTCTAAATGTATTAGGCTAACTAATACACTGGCGGGGCACCAGTGAGGGATGATAGGCGAGAATGAAAAGGCAGGTCACGATAGTTTCCAGGAGGAATGCGAGGAGGTGGACCTGACAGGGTGTACTGCTAACAATGAAGCTACTAATCCCCATTTTTAACAATCCATTATCCGTTATCTGTTTTGTACATTATATGTATAGACTGCAATAAAAAATATAAACCTGCTTAAATTGCAAACATCTTGAGTTATAGGATATTTTTTATCAGGATAAGAAATAGGAACAGGTTTACGGTGGTGATTTATAAAAACAACAATCTAATATATATATATATATATATATATATATATATATATATATATATATATATATATATATATATATATATATATATATGTGTGTGTGTGTGTGTATATGTATATATATGCCTTAATGTATTACTATAATTGTCACATATTTTTCACCACATCTGCCCTTCATACGCTTTCTGTTTTTACCCAATAATTAGCTGGTAGAGAATGCCATATGGCATTAAGCTCGCCACTTGTACAAAGTTTTATTGTGCAATAAAGAATAAATAAATAATTATCGAAGTGGAACCTTACCCACCCCGCAAACCGAGCTCTTCACTGGCCCTCTGCGTGGAGCTGACCACGCCGGCGGTCACTGTGTTACTGAGGGATAGCGGGCTGCCCATCGCCACCACCTGCGAACATACATTCACCAAAGTTACAACAATCATATTCAAGTGAACTAAATTTGTAGCATTTTTTTTTTAATAGTAACTTCAATGGTTTTTATGGGAGATTTTACAAAATTCGTGTTTCAACCGTGAAGCAGTTGTGTTTGCATGGCTGTGTTTCGCCTTGAAGGGTGGGATATGGTCGTGAATTTACTGGGTACAGAGGAATAACATCTGAGTCCTCAGGAATGGCAACGCATGGGGGTATCATGAGCAAAACAAACTGTTATGTCCATGGTACTGCTCATGTCTATGTCGATGTCACCACTTTCCATCAGGTGGGCCATCAGCTTGTTTGCCATTTTAAGTTGTATAAAAAAAATCACATTTCTTTTTTATTTCCTTCTGACGTTGTTGAAAGAAATATATATAAATTATACTGACATAAGACATATAATACAACTAAAATATATTTTAATTACTAGCATATCAGCTGTAGCATGGGCGTACAGTCCCGGCATAGAATAGGACACCCTTTCCTTTGGGTGTCATAAGAGGTGACTAAGAGAGCTTATGGTAGAGGAATGGGCAGTAGAGTCCCTCTTACAACACCAACAAAAGTCCAACTGCAGTTGCCAAACTGCATGTCAAGTGTGGCAACTACTGGTCCCCCCTTGCTCCCCCCAGCTGTATCCCTTTTAAAACATCTCTAAAGCCTGACCAGTTGCCTATCCATCTGCCAAGCATGGCAACTATTGGTAAAACCCACCAAGGGGGAGGCTTACATCTAACAGTAAACAGTTAAAGGCTGTAAGACAATGGGACTGGTAGTTTGCATTTCTAACAATCCCCTCCCCTCTCTCCACCCTCATCAAATAGTACGACGACGTTAATTGTTCACAATATAAAGTACAAACCCACTCGCCAGGCTTGATGTCGGCCGAAGAGCCAAGCTTCATGGTCGGCAGCCCGTTGACAGGGATTCGGAGCGTAGCCAGATCTGACTTTAGATCTACATCCTCCACTATGCCAGTGTGGGTGGAACCATCCTGTAATGTGTGATAATCTTAATATATATTACCGTGAAGCAGTTGTGTTTGCATGGCTGTGTTTCGGTTTGAAGGGTGGGATATGACAGTGAATTTACTGGGTACAGAGGAATAACACCTGAGTGCTCAGGAATGACAACGCATGGGGTGTATCATGGGCGTAACAGTATACTTTGTTATGTCCATGGTATTGCTCATGTCTATAGGCGACGGTTACTACTTTCCATCAGCCTGTTTGCCATTCTAAGTTGTACGAAAAAAAAAAAATATATATATATATATATAAATCCCATGTCATATTCATTCATATTAAAGTCCATCCGTAATTTTCAAGAATTTATATAAATATATATTCTTTTTTCCTACCTAAGAAATAGGATAGATTATTTTGGTTTAAATACATACCATACACTATGATATATTTGATGTACTGAGAGTAAAACATAAATCAATAAGTTTTTTTTTTAATGGATGATAATGGAATGTTAACCCCACCTATGCTATCAGAGTATGCTGGTGGAGTAAAGGAGTAAGGGATGATAGGTGAGCATGAAGCAGGTCAGTTGGCCTATTATGACTAATTTAACAATCAAATTAATAACAATATTTTCCAGGGGGAACAGCATAGTGGTCGACCTAATATACCCTATATTGCTAGCAATGAGATTGTTGATTCGCATTACTACAAATTGCCTCTCCTCCCTAAATAAATCAGTTTGCTTTATAATCTCAACTTGAATGCATTCTTTAATCAACATTTAAGCCTGTATCTAACCACCGCTGGACATAGACTTCCCCAATGCCTTCCACTTCATACAGAATTGTATATAGTGGATGGTGTTAGGCAAAATATATAATTTATTTGGAAAAGAACATAAGCATGATATCTTGTTTAGAAATTAAAATGTGAAATGTGAATGTGAAAAAGACTCCATTTTCCACGCTTAGCCTCTCACTTGGGCCATTGTGCGTATAGAAATTAAAATTAAATTTATTATTAAATTATTACTGAAAATTGGATTAAATGTTTGAATATTTAGTATTCAATATACAGCAGTGCAGGTACCAGCATAGAATAGGGCACCCTTCCTTTCCCGTGGGTATCATAAGTGGTGACCAAGGGAGCTTATGGTAGAGGAATGGGCAGCAGAGTCCCTTTTAACACACCAACAAAAGTCCAACTGCAGTTGCCAACCCGCACGTCAAGCGTGGCAACTACCGGTCCCCCCTTATGGGGGAGACTATGTTCAGCGGTGGCTTGTTAATGGCTGATACAACAAATATAGATTAGAATAAAACCTGGTGTATAGATGGGCCATGTCTTTAATTAACATATAAGTTATAAACATATACACTTTAAACAAATATGGTTTACTTACACATAATAAAACAAGATTGCATAATAAAAACCAATAATGAACAAAAGTAAATACATACCATGAGTTTCACGCTAACAATCGAGTTCGGTTTGTTCACGACAACGTGAGCATTAGTCAATATAAGTCCATCTTCTTTCACAATAAAACCTGAACCATTGGACAGAGTTATGGGTCGGCCACTGAACAAGTCTACACGGCGTCCGTCTTTGATTTCTATGTACACCACAGCCGGCGCAGACACAGCGACTACATCAGCAATGAAATTATACTTCTCGCGTCTACCTTTCAAGTCATTTATTACAGTTGCAGCGTAAATTTTCTCTTTAAAACTAACATAACCTATAACACCTGCAGCGAATGCAAAAACACCGCCTAAATATTTTTTTTTACTGTCCCATCGTTTGCTATCACTATTGAACGTTGATATTAATCTGCTCGAACATCTATAATTTACTTTTAAAATTGGTTGTTTTATAAAAATGCGAGAAAATCTCGCAGCGATAGACATTTTTGATAAACAGAAAGTAATCACTTCGTTATTTAGGCGTCAACACTGCCTTGATATCTGATAGATTTGAAAATTCAATCTATGTAACCATCTAGAAATATCAACACAATAAAGTAATTTAATATTCATACTGTTGTATCCTATTTATAATATAAACGGTATAAAATATCGATATTGAGAGGCACAGTAAAAAATTAGCCAATTTATAGAGTAAAATTTTTAAATTGCGAACTGGTTGCATAAATTACATCAAAGTTTTTCTTCCAAGTGAAGTTTCATGCACTGATTTGATTATTTTAAAGATTTGTGTTGAATGACAGCCTGCTAATGATTGATCAAATGAATGAAATATCAGCTGAGTGACAACAACATACAAGGGAAGGGGCGTCAGTTTATCATTTTCAATAACAGTTATTAACGGTAGTTATAACAAATATTTATTTATCGACTTTAATAACGCTTCAATACTGTGCTAATTAGTGATTTTATAAATTTATATTTTATGCATAACTAGCTTTTATTCCCAACTTTGTACACGTAGATTTTTTATTTAACAACACACTTTTAGATAATTTATGAAGATTAAATATATGCCACATTTTAAGTTAGATATTCAAAAACAAGACAGTGAAAACTAATGCAATTGAGCGCAATCGAGAAACTGCTGCAGTAGTTTCTGCGTCATGCTGGAACAAACATACAGACAGACAGACAAACAAAAACACCAGGCCAGTTACAATTTTATTATTTTTATAAGGACACATAACAATAATATTTATAAGACGAAAAGCAATTAAAAAATTATACACGAAATGGAGAAACTAATGTACTATGAACTCTTCATTGCCAGTAGTAGTACAGACGGGCGAGTCTTGAATTTAATAAGTTACTTGAGTTGATCCATCCTAATGGGATATATGATACAATACCATTTGTATGTTAGACACTTGATTATATATTTAAATATATTATTATCAATGCATTTTTCATCTCCGTAAAAATTTTAAAAGTAATTTTTTAATAGTTCCACCGTGAAATTAAGAATTGGGAAAACACTTTTAGCCGAAATGATCTATTTTGATAAATACTATTTTTGATAATTGTGATAATAATGATACATATATTTGCAAATAGGTCTGCCTGTTACCGTTTTAACGTACTGACCCCCGATTAAAAAGGATATAGTTTATCCTTTTAAGTAAAGATTTCTAATAATTCTAGTACATATAAATATTTACATATTTAACTAGCTTTTTGCCCGCTATTTCGTAAATGTGGTTTTCAAAAGTAGATAAAACGATAAAACAAACTACATATAGATGGCATATCAAGTAAAAACATACACCGGTTTTTAAATTAGACATTTAAGAACGCAACTGTGTAAACGGTATTCAGACAAAAAAACCTTCTAAAATACATAATTTTGGTTTTTATTACGCCAATTAAGACTATAAATTGGTTGTCTGTAAGAGATTGCTTTTAGCGATAAGACCGCCTTTTGTATATGCACATTCTGTATAAATACTCCTTGTATACATCTCTACTGTGCGCAATAAAGAGTTTATTATTATTATTATTATTAAATTTTCCTTAAATATCTCCTATGTACAGACAACGTCCAGTTACTAATTTAAATACATTAGTAATATCACGGTTTCAAAATATTTCGATTGCAAAAGGTCTCAAAATAACAAAACATAAAATGGTATACTGCGATATTTATTTTCAACAAAGAAATGCGTGTTCATCGAATCATATAAAAATTCAAATTACACTTAATTAAATTAATTAAAATTACTTTAATATTAACTAATTACATATAAGATATACAATTGAACTTACAGCTAAGTTATAAAACTAGAAACATTAGCAGTTTCGTTATTGATTATAAATGATATGTATTAAAAATTCACATTTCTAAAAATAGGAACTATACTATAACTTGTTTTAGGTAAATACAAGTATTGTCTATTTTACAATTAATTTTCAATATATAAGCATTATTTATATACAATTATATTCTGACAAAACATATAAATCTATACCTGAACTTCAAGTAGCCACTTTAACCATTATTATGTACTATGTTACGTATTAAGTTTAAAACCTGTGCAAAAGTAGACTTTTGTCCTTGGCGGACATTTTAAAACATACATAAAAGTGGCTTCCAAAGATTAGAAATCATACCTACTGTAAGACACCCCCATTCCAACAATAAAATTTACATTTATATTAGAAACAGAGATTATTGTTATACTCTTGTCCTTGGTTGGCAAAATCGCTCATCTGCACAAGTCTTTATAGGTATTTCTCAACAGCAATTTATTTTAAAATTCGTCAAAAATATAACAAAATATTACTTAATTAACTTATTTCGATTCGATTACAATTTTAATATAACAACATAAAATCAATTTAACGACTTGTTATTATAACGCATCTACGTTTTTTCAGATCATTGCACTCTCTTTTATTTTCTCAAAAAAAAAAAAGTTTAAACGACTTAAAATAAATATACGTACATATAGACACTTTCTATAATGCTTAATATTTCATTAATAATTAACAAATCCGAACAATAACAGGTGTGAAAATATTTTTTACGTTTATTCACTGATTAACATTGAAATAGCCAATTTCGAAATATAATTTAATAAAATAACAGTTATATAACGTAAAAACAAATAGTAAAAATGATAACAACAAAACTAGTGAAATGACAAACCTAATGATAAACTTATAAATATAAATAAATATCATAATTATGTAAGTTTTGAAATTGTGGTAATTACATATCAAAATTTGAAAACATCCATTTATCTCCTTGTTCATAATAACGTAAATCCTCTAATAAACCTATTTTAGCTATTGAGCTATTTTATCTCTAGTGCTAAGTTTTCGTTGTGAAATTTCTCAGTTTTTTTCACTATGTGAACATTTGGTGAGAAAAACTGAGAAGTTTGAATGAATGATATTGAATGAATGAATGAATAAAAAGAGTGTAATAGTTAAAATAAGTGCAGGTTTTATTTTTTATGAATGCATGTTAACATATTCAGTGTTCGATTGAAATAAATTGGTGAGCGTACGGCTGACTATCTAGTTCCTCGACTTATTAACGAACTACCCACCGATGTATGGGATAACATTACTATTAGCAACATCAAATGTAAATTGAAACGATACTTCTTGCATGGTTTTAATACTAAGTACATTCAAATTATTTAATTTGAATGTACTTAGTATGAATATAAACCTACGTGGTTTCTGAATGCTAATGTAACATAATTTCTGTAACTTTGTAATTTTATTGATAATAAAAAAAAAAGTATAGTTATACATATTCATAAAAAATTAAAACCTTCCGCAAATGAGAATTTAGTAAAAAAGAGACAATACAGTTCAATAGCTAAAATAGGTTTATGAGAAGTTTGAGGTTTTTGTGAATAAGGAATATATATGTATATATATATATATATATTATAATATAATAAAATATTTATATTTTTATTTTTTTAATTTCATACGTATATTTTATCAAATATAAATTTGTGCAATGCGTAAATAAACTTTGATTTTAGAAAATGCACCTACTCATTTATATACAAGTATGCACATATATCCCCTGCTTTGTTATTCAGAACATAAACCTACGTGTACAATGGATAATATATCATAGCCCTTAACATTATGTATACCTTAAATATAGGCAAAGTATACAATTTATATACTATTACGTATGTATATATATAAGTATTTGACACAGAAGAGAAGCCTTAAAATATTTATACTTACATGTAAATACCAACTAAGTTACTATAGATATTTTTATAGATATAAAATATATCATTAATAGCTTATAAATATATCGCCTCAGGTCAGTCAGCGCGAGATATTGTTTGACAGAGCCCATATCGTCATAGTCGTAGAATACTGACGGATCTGACAAATATTATATATAAAGATCCGTCAGTATTCTACGACTTTGACGATATATGGTATACGCCGTGTGGTCCCGGCATAGAATGGGCCACCCCTTCCTTTATTCTAGGTTCACACTTTATTTTCTAAGTTGCTAAGTTAATAATTAATAATTCTAATATTTTTGATTTTTAATGCAACTTAGAATAGCAAACAACCTGACGGTCCATCTGATGGAAAGCGGTAACCGTCGCCTATAGACATGAAAAGTAACATGGACGTAACAGAGTATACTGTTTCGCCCATGATACCCCCATGCGTTGCCATTCCTAAGGACTCAGCTGTTATTCCTCTGTACCCTGTAAATTCACTGCCATATCCATATCCTACCCTTCAAACCGAAACACAGCCATGCAAACAGAACTGCTTCACGGTTGAAACACGAAAGGGACAGAGAGGTCCAAGCAAACGACTTTTGTACAAAACCCCTTCTGGTATATGTATATTTACACACACATTAATAAATCGTAGTGTGTGTTTAATGTGAAATGTGATCTATAAAAAAATTTAGCTGTTTTCCAAGAAGGGTTCAGAAAGGAGAAAGTCAATTCAATTTAATTCCAGCTGGTCCAATTGTCACAGCCACACAACTGTCCATCTTCAAAATGTCTACCGTTCACTTTGGAATCACCAATTGATCCGTTCTCACCGTTTAAACAATTCGTTACATTCAAGTTATCCTTCCCTCGGTATGTGTATAGAACGTCGCAGAATATGGTGTCGTCCCTCGGCAGTACATAGTTGGCTTGCTTTGCAGCGATCCAAGCTGCGCCCATCGCACTCGACACACGTAGTCTGACGAACTCCAGTTCTAAATTTAACTGCAAAAAAAAATATATATATATATAAGACAAGGTACAAACGAGCTTGCGGCTCAATTGTCATTTTTTTTATGCAACTTAGAATGGCAAACAAGCTGACGGCTCACCTGATGGAAAGTGGTAACAGTCGCCTATAGACATGAGCAGTACCATGGACATAACATGGGAACTATCACGGGCGAAACAGTATACTCTGTTATGTCCATGGCACTGCTCATGTCTATAGGCGACGGTTACCACTTTCCATCAGGTGGGCCGTCAGCTTGTTTGCCATTCAAAGCTGTATAAAAAAAATAGTATACTGTTTCGCCCATGATACCCACCACGCGTTGCCATTCCTGAAGAGTCAGGTGTTATTCCTCTGTACCCTGTAAAATGACTGCTATATCTAACCCTTCAAAACGAAACACAGCCATGAAGGTATCCAAGCAAACAACTATTGTACAAAGTCTCCCTCTGGTAAAACTAATAATAATAAATAATTAAAAATAATTATTTAGTAATAAAAAATAATAATATAGAGGTATTATCTATTATGAAACATCACTGCTCTGTAAAGGTCAAATCATGAATTAAATACAAATTAGATATAAATATTTATAAAACCATACCGAGGTCATATATTATATGTATATACATAATTATAAAAATCTGATATAGAAGACTGTCATCATTGTGTTCTTTTGTATCTGATATTTATATGTTGTATTTAACGTGTGTATGTATGTGTATATGTATGTGTATGTATATGTATGTATGTATATATATATATATATGTGTGTGTGTGTATGTATGTATGTATATATATGTATGTATGTGTGTATATGTATAATTATTTATATTTATTTTAATTTCTGTTTAGCACTACTACTGCCCACTCACTACTTCCTATGCCACTGCGTTAGGTTGACTGGAAGAAATCTCTTTTAGAGATAAGTTCGCCTAACATTGCTTATTGTTGTTAATATTGCAATAAAGAATATATATATATATATATATATATATATATATATATATATATATATATATATATATATATATATATATATATATATATATATATATATATATATACTACAGAAGTAAACAGAGCGTATCTAAGTCGACATTTTTGAATTTGTTAAACGATCGAAATGTTTTTATCCTTAAATATTCTATGTAGTTACCTTTCAGCTCCTCAAAGGTTGACTGTAAGAGATCTCTCTATGGGATAAGTCCGCCATTGTATATATTTTTTTGATGGCTGAAAATGGTATGGTAACCCCGCCTGCGCTAACGGGATACGCTGGCGGAGCACCGGTGAAGGGTGATAGATGAGAATGAAAACAGGCCAGTTAGCCCATCATGATGATTTCATCAGGAATTAACCATGATAGTTTCCAGGTGGAACCGCGAGGGGGTCGACCTGGTTGGGTATATTGCTAGCAATGGGATTCTCAGTCTTCATTACTAACAATCCCTCTCCCCCACGCCATTGTCAATTAAATCTTTTAATGTGTCTAATGTAAATAATGTATAATAAATATTTTACAATATTTTGTTCGTAATACAAACTAACAGTCGCATTGCTAACTATGTACTCAGTCAGGTCGACCTCCATGTGGTCCCCTCAGGAAACTATCGTGCTGAATTTCAAGTGTATCACGATTGACTAACTGACCTTGAATTTCCATCCTCACCTGTCATCCTTCACTGGTGCAGCGCCAGTGTATACCGATAGCGCTGGCGGGGTTAGCATACCATTACCATATATATATATATATATATATATATATATATATATATATATATATATGTACCTATCCCAATAATGTAATGTAGTTCGTGATTCACTGCTCATTCCAAAGGTTGACTGGTAGAGAATGCTACTAGCATTAAATCCGCCTTTTGTGGGGGAAAGGGATTGTTAGCAATGGAGTTTGACAACCCCATTGCTAGCAATATGCCCTATTAGGTCGACCTCCACGTAGTTCCCCCTGGAAACCATCGTGACAATTCTTGTTGAATTCGTCACGACGGGCTAACTGACCTGCTTCATCCTTCACCTATCATCCTTCACTGGTGCCGCGCCGGTGTATACCGATAGCGCAGGTGGGGTTAATATTCCATTATCATTCATAAAAAAAAAAAAAACCTTTTGTACCTTATTTTCATTTCGTCAATAAAGTTATTTAAATAAATAAAAAAAAAAATAAAAAAAAAAGACTTGATTTTTCTTTAAACTCTATATCATGCAAACTCCAATATACTCACTTTTTGATCAGTCAACTCCTTGAGCACTCCAGGTTTTAGCACCTCCCAACTCTTCCATACGGACCCTACACAAACTATCCTAACTTTTCCAGTAGCTTTAGGAGCTAAAGCCATTATGTGGGCCGCTATAGCACTGCCAGCTTCGGCGAAGAGGTGGCATGACAACGCGTCTCCTTGGAAAGCCAGTTCCGACAGTTTTGCTGTTAGACCTGAAAATGAGTGATTCAATTTTCAATATTATGTATATCAATCGCCGTGTGGTCCCGTGGTCCCGACATAGAATAGGCCACCCCTTCCTTTCCCGTGGGTGTTGTAAGAGGAAACTAAGCGAGGGTGAACGATGGGCGGCAGCGTCCCTCTTAAAACATCTCTAGAAACAACTGCAGTTGCCAGCCCGCCTGCCAAGCGTGGCAACTACTGGCAAAACTCCCCTTATGGGGAAGGCTTATGTCCAGCAGTGGACAGTGAACTGCTGTAATAATTATAATAATAATAATTTATACCAATATTATAAAGAGAAAAGAGTTGATTATTGTATGTTTGTTTTTAATGGATAGACTCAAAAATTGCCCTAACGATTTTAAAAAATTTTCACCTATTAAAAGCTACATTATCAAAAAGTAAGATAGGCTATGTATTATTAAAAAAAAATAGACTAGAGATCCCTACGAAAATCACAATAATGTAACAGAAGGTATTAAAAATTAGTCTATTAAAGCTAATATTTATATAAATACTAACTTATCTTTCTGTCTATCTAAAAGTGTTCTGGAATGATAAAAAAAGCTACGACGGGGCAGCTGAGAAACCTACAACGCGGACTTTCAAGCTCCGAGTGGAAACGGGAGGGGCAAGGATTGCAGGACCCCTTCCTGAATACTTAACAATTTTTTGGTGACCGCCAGTTTTTTTTAGGCAGATTTTTTGTCACAGGGGGCAAACGAGCATGTGGTTCACCTGATAGTAAGTGACTACCGCCGCCCATGATCAACCACGACACCAACGGCATTGCAGGTGTGCTGCCGGTGAGGTTTTGGTACAAATTTCAGATATTCTGGTTTCTGGTTTTTAAGTTTTTCAATAGATGACAATGAAATGGTAACCCCGCCTGCGCTAACGGTATACGCTGGCGGGGCACTAGTGTAGAATGATAGATGAGGATGAAAGCAGATCAGTTAGCCCATCGTGATGAATACGCCTGGAATTCAGCACGACGGTTTCCAGGGGGAAGTACGTGGAGGTCGACCTGACAAGGTATATTGCTAGCAATGGGTCTGGTAGTCTGCATTACTAACAATCCCTTCCCGTTTGGTTTTTGAGTTTGGTCCAGGAATTTGTCAAAGGAAGTCTTCACGAGTTATCTTTATGAGTAACCTTTAATGAATGAAAATGGAATGGTGGAATTGCTTTGTGCTAAGTTTAATCCCTCTTTCCCCCAATAATAATAATAATATTTATTTAATTAGACTACATAAGGCCCATTTTGTTAGTTATAAATTGACTTAACCTATGTTAGTAAATGAGCGGTCATAACGCTCTTGCATTGATAACCTGTCCCACCCAATATTTTAGGATGGGACATTTCACTTTATCAGCAATTGTCTTCAGGACACTGTTTGAGCTAACACGCGCCCTACCCAACAGCGAAACAATTCGTTTGCGCTGTCGTGCAAACATGTGTGACGCAGTACAGCGACGAGGTAGCCCTCACAGTGCCCTCAAGGCATTATTATATTGGACTCGAAGAGCATTGTAAGTTTTTTGGTTACAGTTGACCCACAAGCTACTCGTGTAGAACACCTGACAAAAATCTTTAAACAGGGTTATTTTTACTTGTTTTGTACACCTAGCAAACCTGCGAGCCAACATGCTACTTTTAACTGCCAATGGCCTTATTTCGTGTTCTATGTCCAGGTCATCTTTCAAAGTACTTGCAATAACGTGACCAAGATATTTAAAATCAGTTACCACTGCAAGTACATTTCCATTAAGTGATATAGGAGGCACATACTTCGATTTTTTATTTACAGATACAAATGTCATAATTACATTTTTGCTAGAATTATATACCAGACCATGACCTTTTTCGCGTAAGTATATTAGAGTAATATCAGATGCCTGTAACCAATGGGAGTACTCACCAGCATACCGGGATTTGTCGAAGTCTTTATACGCGTGACGGAGTAGATCGTCTTGTTTCTGGATATTGAAATGCTCCCTGATCGCCTCCCACACGTTGTGGATGGGATGAGGAGACGGCCGAAGTCCGTCCATCTGGTCGAAAGCCTTTTTCACCGCACGATGGGCGATCCAGTACGCTGAGAATAGTTTTGTGCAACTTGTAATGGCAAATATGCTGACGGTCCAGATGGAAAGTAGCCACTATTTCGCCCATTCAGATGAACAGCACCATGGACATGATATGATACACTGAAAAACCTATGGTAGCCCTCATGCGCTGCCATTCTTTAACCTAACGTTTTAAATCGCCATACCCTGTAATTTGACTACCATTTCCCTATCTTCATGGTAGAGGGATGGGCAGCAGCGTCCCTCTTAAAACTTCACTAGAAATCTAACTGCGGTTGACAACTCGCCTCCCAAGCGTGGCAACTACTAGCAAAAATCCCCTTTCGGGAAGACAAGTTTTCCCTCCAAAAAAATAACAAGAAGTGATTACACAGAAAAAAATAAAAAGAAAGAAACAGTAAATTTGGAAATTGTTTAGACAGACCAAAATTCCTTACCACTGCCTTCGTCCCCCAACATATGGCCCCATCCCCCGCAACCGTATTGTTTGCCGTCGGACGTCCGCAGCAGACCGTTGGAACCGGTACCTGAAAGAGCAATAAAATTCTAGATAATCTAATGCAGAACCAGCAATGGCATTTCCGAACAAATTCGAATCGGAAACCTTCAACGAAGTATCTTTTTTCAAGACGCATCGGTAATTTCCTTAGCGTCGTTGATTTTCTTAATACAACTTTGATGGCGGAAAAGGTGATGACCTTATTAATGGAAAATAATGACCGTCATATGTAGACATGCATATCACAGAATACACTCTGATATCTATGCTAATTGGATGATTGGAGCTTCCTCCCGCGAACGCTCAGGTTGTGGCCTACCGAAGCTTTCCCTAGAGAGTACAGCATGGGGTTACACCAGAGGGAGACTTTATATAAAAGTCGTTTGCTTGGCCACCTCTGTCCCATTCGTGTTGACGGTAGGTGAAGCTGTTGTGTTTCGGTTTAAAGGGTAGGATATGGCGTGGATTTACTGGGTACGGAGGAATAACAGCTGAGCCCTCAGGAATGGCAACGCATGGGAGGTATCATGGGCGAAACAGTATACTCTGTTATGTCCATGGTACTGCTCATGTCTATAGGCGACGGTTACCACTTTCCATCAGGTGGACTGTCAGCTTGTTTGCCATTCTAAGTTGTATATAAAAAAGTTTTTCAAAAAGGGCGTTTAAGGTTTCTACTCTGGTGTGACGTCACTGGTATTACAGATGTCGATAGGCTCGGTAACTCCGTTTACCAGGGGGAATGTATTGCTAGTAATATGGATTATCAGTCCCATTGCTAGCAATATACGCAATCAGGTCAACCTCCACGTGGTCTGAACCTGGAAACCATCGTGCTGAATTCCTGGTGTATTCATCACGATGAGCTGACTGACCTGTCTTTCCATTCTCACCAATCACCCTTCAATGGTGCTCCGTCAGTGTACCGGTAGCGTAGGCGGGGTTGCCATTCCATTATCATCCATTAAAAAAAACCGTTTACCACCAGACGGGCTGTATGCTTGTTTGCTACTATAGTAGTATAAAAAAACAAACTCACGACGAGCATGCATTGCTATTCTTAAGAACTATACTTGATAGTTACTTCTCTTTTTTTTTTTTTTTTTTTTTTTTTTTTTTTTTTTTTTAACCACTGAGGTGGCAAACAAGCATACGGCCCACCTGATGGTAAGCGGTTACCGTAGCCTATGAACGCCTGCAATACCAGAGGTATTACGCGCGCGTTGCCGACCCTGAAGAAACCTCTTTACCCCCCTTTTGAAGAACCCCATGCTGTAGTCTCTCGGGAAAACCTCGGCAGGGAGCTCATTCCATAACCTGAGTGTTCGTGGGAGAAAGCATCTCTGAAACCGCGTTGTACGCGACCATTTAGGCTGTAAGGTATGAGGGTGAACTCCCTGCCGATGGCGAGCCGTACGATGATAGAAAGTGGCCGTAGGCATCATATTGAATAATTCCTCTGAGCACAATCCGTTGTATAAGCGGTAGAACACGCAGAGTGAGGCAAAATCTCTCCTAAGACTTAAGGGTTCGATACCGCTTGCAAGCATGGGATCATCGACAATTCTCATAGCTCGTCGTTGCACTGAGTCGAAGGGTTCAAGCTGGTATCTAGGTGCTCCCGCCCATAAGTGACAGCAATACTCCATATGGGGCCGGATTTGTGATTTGTAAAACATTAATCGCTGATCCGGCGTGAAGTAATGCTTCGCTCTATTGAGCACACCGAGTTTTTTGAATGCCAGCTCACCTTATCTTCGAGGTGGCCTAGGAACTGTACGTCACTAGAGATGTCGACACCAAGGATCCCAATGCTTTTAGAGATGTTAAGAGACGTGCCTTGGAACTGTGGGGCCACAGCAAATGGGGTTTTTTTAGCGGTGAACGCGCAAGCTTGTGTCTTAGAGGGGTTAAATTGGACCAAGTTTTGTCGTCCCCAATCAGAGACTCCAGTTAGTGCTCTCTCGATTTCAGACACAAGCTGTTCACGATTGTTCTCCACGATGGAACGGGAGACATTGGTACGACCCGTATAAAGGGCATTTCCGGTGCTATCATCCGCATAACAATGAATGCTACCGAAGGTTAACATATCATTAATATGCAGTAGAAACAGCGTTGGGGACAGCACAGAGCCCTGCGGGACGCCAGCGTTAATATCCATGCTATCGGAGCAGCAACCATCTACAACGGTTTTTATACGTCTGCCGGATAAAAAACTGGCGACCCATTTACAGAGGCTGTCGGGAAGTCCATAGTAGGGCAATTTCGATAGAAGACCCCGATGCCAGACCCGGTCAAATGCCTTTGCAATATCAAGACCGACAGCGAGCGCCTCACCTTGACTCTCAATGGCTGATGCCCATCGGTGCGTAAGATATACCAAGAGGTCACCAGTTGAGCGACTATGGCGAAAGCCATATTGGCGGTCACTCAATAAATCGTGATCCTCTAGGTATTTTAACAGCTGTGCGTTAACTATACGCTCCATCACCTTAGAGAGAAGGGAAGCGATCGCAATCGGTCTGTAATTTGAAGGGTCCGACTTATCGCCCTTTTTAGGTACAGGATGTACAAGGGTGGTCTTCCATGTCGAAGGAAATTGCCCTGTGGAGTACGAGATCGTGAAGAGACGCGTTAATACAGGACACAATTCCGGAGCACACTGCTTTAGGACCACTGCCGGTATACCATCTGGCCCACTCGACTTATGAACATCTAAGGATAGTAACTCCCGCCGGACTTTACATTGTGTTATAGTAATTTCCGGCATGGAGCTTCCGCAACACAAGATGGTAGGTGGTACAGAATTACCTTCGTCCATAGTAGTTAGAGGCAAAGAGAATGCCAAATAAGTCGGCTTTCTCTTTAGCACTGTAGGCCAAGTTACCATTCGGTTTCCGAAGTGGTGGAAAAGACGACTGACAAAAGTTTCCTTGGGCAGCTTTAGCAAGCGACCAGAAAGCACGGTTACCAGAAGGAAGGCTTGATAGTCGCCTACCAATTCTGCCCACAAATTCAAATTTGGCTCTGGCAATTACTCTCTTACTGGACCTCGAAGCAGCATTTAATTTGCGCTTTGCATCACTGACTCCAGGATCAGATTTAGTGCGAGCCGTAGTCCAAGCCTTGTATGCAGCTTGCTGAGCAAATCTGGCTTTCTTACAAGACCGGTTAAACCACGGACGCTTCTTCGATTCCATTGCCACTAGCGGGTTGGGGATAAATAGCTTCATACCTTCAATGATAGCCTCGCTAACGGCAATTGCGCAGTCGTTAGGATCATGTGATGCAAAACAGAGCTGCTTCCACGGGTACGATGCATAAAATTCTCGCAATCCATCCCAGTCTGCTGACTTATAGTGCCACACGCGACGTCGTCCAATAGGACGGGGTGGATCAGGTCGAGTGTTGGGTACATCAGCCCGGATAAGACAATGGTCGGATGAGCCAATTGGCGCATCCACTCTGACGGTATATCCATCCGGGTGTGTTGTCAGCAGAAGGTCCAGCAAGGAGCTTGTATGGTTCTCTATATCTGGAATTCTCGTTGGAGAATGGACCAGCTGAGAGAATCCATAGGTCAGACAAATTCATGAGTGCTTTTCCCGCGCAGTCAGTGGACCGAGAAAAGCCACTCGGAGTGGTGAGCATTAAAGTCTCCAAGTATCACTAACTCCGCAGAAGGGTACTGCTCGAGAACCTTATCAATCGTCGTTTGCAGGTGCTCAAAAAGACGGAAGGTGTCCAGATCACCGCTGTGAGACCTGTAAAGGCACGCGTAAATACGAGTGTGGCTCCCGTAATCCACACGTACCCATAATACTGACAGGTCTCTGTCTTCAAGGCCATGGAGACGGCGGTAACAGACATCCGTCCGGATATACATACAAACCCCGGCATGACGAGCAAATCTCTCCATCCAAAGGTTGCCTGGAAGAGATCGCTTTTAGCGATAAGGCCGTCCATTGTTTTCTTTCTGTTATCATTTCTTGTAATTGTTTGTGTCTATAATAAGTTTCCTACTGTAATCATTTGGAGGTAACAATAAACAGTATCTACCTAACTACAGTGTTATGTCTCTATACTCTGTAATTTCATTGCCATATCTATCTATCCGTCAAACTGAAATACAGGACAGAGAGACTCGGGCGGATGATTTTTGTATTAAGTCTTTTTAGCTAAATTCTCATTTCCCACAGCATCCCGTGAACTGAAATATCATTGGACTATCTCTCCCATATAAAATAGTTTAGTAGCAGGATCTCCAGAATTTTTTTTATACGACTTAGAATGGCAAACAAGCTGACGGCCCACCTGATGGAAAGTGGTAACCGTCGCCTATAGACATGAGCAATACAATGGACATAACAGTAGACACACATACTGTTTCGCCCATGATACCCCCCATGCGTTGCCATTCCTGTGGACTCGGGCGTTATTCTTCTGTACCTAGTAAATTCACGCCATATCCCAACCTTCAAACCGCAACACAGCTATGCAAACACAACTGCTTCACGGTAGAAACACGAATGGGACAGAGGTACTCAAGCAATCGACTTTTGTACAAAGTCTCCCTCTGGTAAAGAAATAATTAACATCTAATTAAGGCAATAAATAGATTAAATTGCATATTTTAAAACAGAAGAAAAGAGAGGTAATACGACAAGAAAAATCTACATAATTCAACATTTCTAAGTACCTAATCATATATTTTTTTATCTGATTCTAAGAAGTTTTACATTTCCTTAGATCAATAATGATGGACATTTATAAGATAGAGTTTTAATACCTATTTTTTTTTTTTTTTTTTTTTTTTTATTTTTATTGGCACATAAAACAGATTACAACCATAAGAAACTTAAGTAATAATTACATTTGTGATTCGGCTAGGTTATAATCCAATTATATTATATGCACAGCTTGAGTAATTTATTAAAAGCAAACACATAATATAAAAAAGAAATAATTAAAATGTTATATAAATATATAAAAGATAAAACTATATATAAAAAAAAAAAACATATT